CCCCCTACCAGGAGCACATCTGTCTCCAACTTCCTGCTCAAACCTCCCAAATCCTCCCAGAGCTTTGGTGGCTGGGCAGCTGGACCCTGGAGGGCACTATCCCCTGAAACCTGGGCCTCCAGGACAGAGGGCTGAGGAGGGGCGGGGCCTGCCTGATGGTGCTTCTCGGCTTCTTACCCAGTGGGGGGCCTGCGATGCTACAGCTGTCACGAGCCCACTCCTGTGTCCAGCTGCGTCACCGTCGTCACCTGCAGTGTGAACGAAACCATGTGCAAGACCACCCTCTACTCCCTGGAGATAGGTCAGTGGGCGCCGGGCAGGGCTGGGGTCCCAGGGTCAGATCCACCTCCCGGTCGTCACCGCTGGCCAGCTGTGGGGCCCCACGCACAGCTCGCAGCCACTGCCCCGGCCATTTACGAAAAGGGCTTTTGGTGGAAGCGAAGTCCGCGCCCCCTCCCCGCCTTCTTTCCTTTAATGGAGATGCATCTGCAGCCTGGCTCGGGCATCACCCGGAGAGGAACCGCCCCATCCGTGTCTGCTGCTGCGTCCCCAGGGGCACACAGGATTCCCACGGCGGTGGAAGGAAAGGGGGGACTGAGATTCAGCAGTGACCCCCACCTCCACCCCGGGGGCACAGGGCCAGGCTTGGGGGGGCCCTGGAGGTCGGGAGCTGACCGGGCACCCCCACGTGGCCCACAGTGTACCCCTTCCTGGGAGACTCCACGGTGACCAAGTCCTGCGCCAGCAAGTGCGAGCCCTCGGACGCGGACGGCATCGGCCAGACGAGGCCCGTGTCCTGCTGCAACAGCGAGCTGTGCAACGTGGACGGGGCGCCCGCCCTGGACGGCGGCCGGGGCCTGGCCCTCGTGCTGGCACTCCTCTCGCTCTGGAGCCTCGGACCCTAGCCCCCCCCCCCGCTGCCCCCCGCAAGCCAGCCCCAACCGCCCTTGAAGAAGCACCACCCCTGCACCAGGCCTCCTGCGTCTGCTTTCGCCGCCCCTGTCAGCCTCGTCCTGTGTCCCCTGCGGCCCTCCCCGGCCCCTCCGCTCCTAGCCGGCCTCTGCCCCGCCCGGCCTTGTCTCCGGGGGCCTCTCGTCACCCACACGGTCGGTCTCTTCTCCGTGTCCCGTCACGTGGTAGCAAGGACGGTCACTAGGCCTGTGACACCCACACAAACCCTACGGGGCCTGACTGGGGGGGGCAGAAGGGGACCCCCAGGCAGGGGCAGCACCCGCCTGCCAGGGCCGGTCACCGGGGACTTCTCGCAGGAGGGGCCATTAAGGCCAGGCTTTGGCCGGGTACGGGAGGGCAGCCCCGTGGGAGCCCCGTGCGGGAGGAGGCACCTGGGATCAGGCTAAATCCGTGAAGCACCCACTACCGCTCCCCGGGCCCCTGGGCAGGGCCTTGCCCGGCCCGTGGTGACACTGTCCCCTATGTTGGGTGGCAGAGAGTGCCACCAGGCGTGTCCAGACTTCAGGCTTGCCAGGCCCCGCTCCCTGGGTGCCCAGGGCAGCCCAGCTCCGACGTACGGGGGGCCTTCACTCCACCTCGGCCTCGGGCCAGCACCAAATCTTCCGGACCCTCTTCCCAGGAGTCGCCTGCCCGGCAGGCTTCTTGTCCCCAGGGACCCCCAGGCCTGCACCTGGGTTGGGACTCCGTGCTCTCACGTACACGCATGCTCACGCATGTTCATAAACACACGGGGTCCTGGAAACACACGCTAGGACCCTGTACCTGAGGAAGGCAGGGCCCAGCCCTCCCAGCCAGCCCCGACCTCTCCCCAGGGGCGGCTGAAGGAGGAGGGAAGGGCAGGGGAGGGCCCTCAGTCACCCCAGACCTGGCCCCCTGCTCCGCCGACCTCGCCTGGACCCATGGTGAGCCGGCCCGGGAGGGACACAGCACCAGCATCCCCCCCACCCTGAGGTGAGGCTGGGAAGGCCTCGGCCTATAGCGCCCACGTGCTCCCCACCCGCCCAGAACCCTGAGTCCAGGGGCCTCACAAGCAGCCATCACCCCTCCCGGGGCTTCCTGCTGCCGGATGCGGGGCGGTGGGAAGGCCCCAGGTCCCCAGGCTCCCCCAGACCTCGGCTTCCTGTGCTAAGACGCGCAGTCTCAGGGACTTGGTGGTCCTGAGCCAGCTTCCCGGGGGACAGGACGCCCACAGCCTGACAAGCCCCAGCCAAGTGACCGGCACAGACTGGCCACGTAGCAGGGCCTCTGGCCTCCAGAGAGCCCCTCAGGCAGAATCCAGGAATGGCAGGGACCTTGGGGGCCAGGAAAGGCCAAGCGTGGGCACCATGCCTCCATTTGGGGTTTGACTCTGAGCTCTGACTGCCACCAAGGAGGTACTGTCCACCCCCCTCACCTGGCCTTTGTCATGGGTCTCACAAAAGTAGGGAGAGTGGTGGGGACTTGAGCCTTACAGCCTGGGTTCACACTCGATACACGCACACACACACACACACACAGCCGTCCAGGCAAACATGGGGAAGCCGTGTGTCCCTGTCCTGGCTGCTATGCCTGCCTGGAGCACCCTCTCTGCCATCACACCTCCCAGGTCTTCCTTGCCCTCCCCTTCCAGGCAGCCCTCCAACCACACTCCGGCTCCTTCACCCCCGCACACCCCGGCCTGTTTCTTGGCACGCTGGTCCCACTGACGCTCCGCGCGTCCGCCCCCAGCCCACCCCCCCCCCGCCCTCGTGGCCGATGACGCTCTGCCTGGTTTACAGGTGAAAGAAAGAGGGTCAGAGGGGCTTGTGGGCAGACTGGTCACACAGGAGGTCAGGCGGAGCCGGGCCCCACTCAGCTGTCAGGCTCCACACCAGGCACTCCCTGGCTCCTCTCGTTACATCCTGGGCGCGACTGTGGGCCAAGCCCTGGGAAGGGCTGCCAGGCTGCTGTCTGCGCCTGCACCTGCCGAGGACGCCCAGTTGTTGGTTTGCAGCAACCATGGTCTCTTCCTTCACAAGGAACGCCCTCCTTTTGTTTCCTCAGTTCACAGGGCCGGGTCACGCCTGCCCTCGAAACCGCCCTGGGTCCTTAGCTCCATCCCGCAAACGGGAATGCAAAGTCTAGAGGGGCGAGGGAGTCATCCCCAAGACCTCACACGGAGCCAGCAGCAAATCCAAGGCCAAAACCCAGGCCTCCTGAGGGCCAGCCCCAGCCCCTCCCCCCTGCTGCCCCTTCTGGAGACTGGGACGTGACTCGTACCCGCAGCAGGGCCCACCTGCCCTCCACACACTCTGCTGGCTACACACTCATGGTCTTTCATCCGCCACCTACCCATCTACTTACTCCCCCATCCACTCACTGGCTGCATTCCCCCATCTCCCTCCCTCCATGCACACACTGCCCCACTCATCCACTCCTTCAAAGATCACCCAACCACCCCACCATCCATCCATCTACACATCCAGCTAGCCCCATCCATCCACTCATCCGTCTACACATCCACCCACCCACCCACCCATCTACCCATCCATCCATCCACTCATCCATCTACACAACCAGTTAGCCCCATCCATCCACTCATCCGTCTACACATCCACCCATCCATCCATCTACTCACGCATCCACCCACTCATCCATCTGCACATCCACCCCCACCCACCCACCCAACCAATCATACATCCATCTACACATCTACCCACCCATTCATCTACCCATCCCCATCCATCCACCCGTCTATCCACCTAGCCCCATCCATCCACTCATCCATCTACACATCTACCCATCCACCCAGCCATCTATTCACCCATTCACCTATGCCAGGGAGAGGACGCCTGGGTGGGAAGGACAGGACCTTGGCCCTCGCTGGGCTTGACAGACATCGGAGTCCCGGCCACAGGGGGCTTGTGCCAGCACCAGGTGGCTCAAGCCAAGAGGGGTCCAGCCCCCAAGGGCCCATGAGTGATGTGGCCCGCCCACCACGCTGCCTCCCACCTCCGCCCTGCACCACCCTGCTGACTCACATGCTCCCTGGCAGGAACCACAGAGAGCGCAGGGTATAAGTGCTCAGAGAGGCGGCCGGCGCTGCCGCTCCCGCTCCCGAGCACGGCAGATGGCCCGGTGTGGGGCTTTGTTCCGGCTTCTGCTGCTCCTTGCAGCCTCTGGCCTGCACATGGGTGAGTGGATGCCTCCTCCAAGGGGAGGGAGGGCCTCCTTAAACCCCCCACTGGGCTCAGCGCCCTTGCCCTAAAAGGGCCTCCTGGGTTCTAGAGCCTTCCCTTGGGACGGGCTTCGCAGCCCCATTGTCCAGGCAGGAAAATGGAGGCACAATAGAGGAAGGCAGCATTCAAGTCCACCAGTCAGAGCCCTGGGCCTTGCAAGGTCTCAGTGAGGCAAGCCACCTCCCCCAAGCAGGGATGGCAAGGGAGACACTCCAGGGGCGCCTGTGGGGTATGGCCCAGGGGTTAGACCACACGTGGCCTCTGCTCGAGCCTCCAAGACGGGTCTCGAGGCCACAAGCAATGCAGTTTGCCCTATCCCTCGCCCAGGTGAGGCCTTCAAATGCTTTACATGTGAGCAGCCCACACCCATCTCTTCATGCAAGAACATCACTCACTGCCACCCCGAGGCCACGGCCTGCAAGACCACGCTGGTGCAGGTGGAGTCAGGTGAGTCCCGCCCACAGCGGGCTGGGGGTCCACAGCGGTCACCTTCCCCAGATGGCCCTCAGGACTGGGGCTGGGGCCCAGAGGTGGCACTCCCACAGACGGGCTCCGTGGTGCCTCACGAGAGTGGCATCAGCCCAGGGCCCCAGGCTCCCGCCTCAGGGCTGGGGACAGGAGCGGGACAACTTCCCAGCCCTGCCATTAGTTTGGGGGCCTCAGGCGACCTCTGGAGGAGTCAGGATCCAGTGCATGGAGGCAGGGCCGCCGGGGAGGGCCCGGGCAGTGGAGGAGCAGGCTCTGAAGCCCGCCCACCCGGCAGAGTACCCCTTCCACCAGAGCCCCGTGGTGATCCGGTCCTGCGCCAGCTCCTGCATCGCCAGCGACCCCGACAGCATCGGGGCTGCCCACCCTGTCTACTGCTGCTTCCGTGACCTGTGCAACTCCATACAGGCCACCAGGGTTGGTGTCAGGGCCCAGGCCCCGCTGGGCGCCCCGCTCCTTCCCTGAAGGGCCTGCCACCACCAGAGGCCACCTGTGTCTGTGCGCTCCCCGGAGCTTCCCAAGCCACCATTAACCATGGGACTCATGGGGTGAGCACCCTGCCAGGGGCCTCCTGCCCCCCAGGCTCCGCCCTTGCAGAAAATAAACATCACCAAGGCAGAACTGACCCCTTTCCTTCCTGGGTACCGAGAGCCCACGGGGCCAGCCTCTGGGAGGGCTGAGTTGAGTCAGGCCCATTCCGGGCACCTGTTCTCACCCAGGGCCATTTGGCCTCATTTCACAGAAGGGGAAACGGAGGCCAAGGGGGAGAAATGCATCCTGGGCTGGCCTTCCTGCAAACCTGGAGCCCAGGACAGGCTCCTTAGTCCAGGGCAAATCTGCCCCCACTCCCAGGCTCTGCCCTGAGACCCCAGAAGCATCACCTCCACGTCTGCTCCCAGGGGGAAGGGAAGCTGAGGTCAAGGGTGGCTATGTCTCGCTCCACGTGTCTGGCGCGGGGACACTGCAGCAACAGCAGGGGACGTGGGGCAGAGGGCACATGGAGGCGCAGGGAGGCAGGCCTTCCTGGGCCTACGTGGGGTGCCTCTGGGCCAGCTGACACCCACATACCTCCATGCGCCTCAGCCACCCCCCAACATTGGGCCTATGCCCCGGGGGACAGCTGCCCCAGGGGACAGCTGAAATGAGAGGAGACCATGCCCGTGGAGCACTGAGGACATGCCAGCTCATCCCAGACGCCAAGGGCCAGTGCTGGGCTCCCTGCCAGCCAGGTGGGCAGCAGCGGCCTCAGAGGCGGTGGAGCCTCAGGCTCCTGCTTCCCCCTCCTGGGGACCCCCAGGTGGCCCCGGGCATGGCCTGGCGCAGTGGCGCTGTGGGGAGGCGGAGGCAGGAGATACGTCTCGCACACAGGATATCAGCAGCCGTGGGGCCTGTCCCTGCCCCTCTCCAGGCCCGAATTCCCATCACTGCCCTCTGGGTTGGGAACCTTCCAAACTCTGCATCACAGTCAGGCTTCCTGGGCCCGTGATTTGGAGACAAGGGGCCAGGGCCACCAGCTCCCCACAGGGACTGAGCAAGACATCACTGCAGCTCTTGGCTTCAGCTTCCGGTGGGGCAGCGGGGGTGGGGGTGGGAGAGGGATGTAGCTTCTGTGCTATTCCAGGGCAGGGGGTGAGCCGGCCAGGCACACCTGCGGGGTCCCTGCGCAGTGCCACCATGGCCAGCAGATGGCACCCCCACCCCACCGCCACCAGGGCACAGGGCTGCCTGGCCCTCCCCTAGGAGGAGCTGCCACCAAGTAGCCTGAGCCCAAGGAATGCCCTTGTCTGCAGGCCTGAGGTCACCTGAGGCCAGACCTGCACATCCCTGCCCCCCCATAGCTGGGGGGGCCCCAGGTGGGGCCTTGGTACGGCTGGCCCTGGGGCGCCACAGCGGGGATGGTAGCCGCTCACACCAGCTGGGGACACTTGGGGCCTTAGGATTGAGGACCCAATGTGCTGTGTGGGGTCACAAGGAATGCAGACAGACAGGAGAGGCCCACCAAGGGTCACCTGGTCCACGGGCGGAAAAGGTGAGGCCGCTCATACCCCACCTCGGCCAGCCCTGTGCCCTGGACGTGTGTCCCCTGGTCACTGAGGACTCCTCTGTGGTCGAACCTTCTCCAAACAGACAGAGCGAGAGGGAGTCTCCTCTCCCCCCTGCCCCCATCTGGCTGGGGTGTGTCTCCCTTGAGTGCACAGAGAAACTTCAGGGTCTCTGGGACACAGGGATGTCCAGCCCGGAGGCCCCCACCACCCTGAACACCTCGTACGCACACAGACCCATCCTGCCTCCCCAGCCCCTGCCCAGCCCCAGGGCACCAGCTGGCCCCTCGCCACCACCGGATGGACCTGCTGGGACCCGCCCCGCTGTGTATAGTTCTGTCCGCAGCCCCCTGGAGAATCTGTCCCTGGCACCTGTGTGGACCCCCAAGCTCCCCGCCCCAGGCTGTCCCTGGTCCTTCACTCCCTGCCTGCACCCTGCGGGGCCGGCACGAAGCTCTCTCGGATGAGGAGAAACTCCATGTCCCCTGAGGGCCGCGGGCTGGCTGCTCGGGCAGGTGGGAGGGCGGGGTGGGCCAGCCCCGGGGTCCTCAGCCCGCCTGGCTGCAAACCACCGGCCTGCCACGTGACCTCGGCCAGGCCACGCCACCTCCCATCACCCAACACCTGGTGCAAATCCAACTTTTCCAACTGCCCGGTCTTCTCTGGGCCCCCGGACCCGGGCCCTCCTGAGCAAGTGGTCAGGGCGCAACGTGGCCTACGCCATCCCTACCTGTCCCCTGTCCCTCTTTGAGGGGCTTGCAGAAGGGCCCCTAGGCTGACCCCAGCCGTTAAGGTCCACTGACCTCTGCCCCACCTGCCACCCCACTTCCCTGCCCCAGTAACCCCAGAGCCTGAGGCCTAACCTTCCGAACTCATCTGGAGGATCATGGGACTGGATCCTGGAATCAAATCAGAAACCTGCACCTGCCACTGACAGGCTGGCACGTGGGACAGCAGGCCCCAGAGGCTGGCGACAGGGCACCGGGGCCTGCAAGGGGGGTGGGGCAAATCCTTTCTGGCCTCGGTCCCATGCTCTGCACAAGGGGGCCAGTCCTGCCCTGCCCACCTCGTCCCTGAGTTCACGGGACCCCGAGAAGCCTAGACAGCCCCCCCCCACCAGAGAACACCCCGTGGGGACCCTCGGCTTCCCTGGGGGACCGGAGCTTCGGAAACAAGGTCTTCCCCCAGCAAGTGGACATTAAAAACCCTTTAATCTTGGGGTTTCTTTACATGAAACAGAAACATTGCAGCGTTCTCGTTGCGGCTGTAAGGCAGAGGTCAGCGTGGGCGGCTGGCAAGGGACGTGGGTGCCCCTGCGTGCGTGGCTGCAGCAGTGGCCCAGCCCCGGGCAGGGACAGGAGGCATCTCTGGGGCCCGGTGGGGGCGGGGCCCGGGCAGGCAGCCACCTCATCCTGCACAGCCACCCGCATGGGCCAGCAGCCACCCCGCCGCAGGGACCTGACCGGTGTCCCCCCGTCCCCTCCCCGGCCAGGCAGCCCCAGCCCCCAACCCCCCCTTGGCCCATCCCTGCTTTGCCATCAGGGCTCCAGGCCAGTTTCTTCGCTCCAGACTCCCTTACCCCAGCCTCAGCCGGTGTCCCAGCAGCTGGTGACCCTGTCAGGGAGCCACTTGGGCAAAGCCAAGAAGACCCTTCCCCAACCTCAGCTCATGGAGCGAGAGAGCCCCTCAGAGAAGGGAAGAATCAACGGCAGGGCAGGTGTCAAGGACGATAACCCAGGAGGAGGGCAGACAACTGAGGTGATGGAGACCCAGAGAGGGCAGGGGCCTGTCCACGGTCACACAGCACAGCCCTATGAGCACCGAGGAGTGTGGACAAGCAAGGGCAGAGGGCGCCCAGGGGGAGTCCCACTCCTGCTCTCTTCCCTCCTCAACAGCAAGCCCCAATTAGGACACCCTCAGTGACGGGGAGCTCACCACTATACAGGAGGCCCTATGCCATCTGACCCACCGGGGCCCAGCACGCCCTCTGGCCCCAAGTCCCTGCTGCAGGCCAATCCCACCCCAGGGGAGCTCTGCTGCCCTCTGCTCAGTGCACCTGGCCACCAACTGCCTAGACTTTGCCCTGGGCCAGCCTCCCCACCCCCATCACCCACAGCTGAGAGACTCTGCCCTGCAATGCCATTCTGACCCTTCACAACCCCTCTCCCCGAGAATCAGGCCTCACCCCTGCTGCCCCAGCCCCCAGCAGCTCGCTCAGACTCCAGGCTCCAGTGCTCAGGGTGGTCCCGCTGGCCCAGCTTGGCTTCATCCGCAGGGCGGGGCCGACCCCCCCCCCCCAGCCCACAAGCCGAGCGTCCTGGGCCTCCCACTTTTCCCATCATCTCTACCCTGAGAGCAGAGCTGGGTCAGGGCATCTGAGTCACCCCCATCCTGTGCCCAGCATGGTGAGGGGGAGTGGGGATCAGTAACGGGCGGAGGGGGAGGCCTGAGCAGGAGAAGGGGGCTGGGTCGACCGGGCTGGTTGTGGACCCCTCCGGCTGGGAGACACGGGCCCGGCCGGCCCATCCTGCACCTTCTGGCCCGGGCGGGCAGGGACGGGCCGGCAAGCGCCCCCGCGTAGAGGCTGACGGGCAGGGTGCGTGGTCACTGGTCCTTGACCACATCGCTGAGCCCGCTCTCAGCCCTGAGCAGCTGGCTGCTGGTCTCGTTGTAGGCGATCCAGTGCCGCAGGTCCTCTGGCAGCTCGGGGGGCTCCACCTGCAGGGAGAGAGGGTGACATTCCCACAGGCCCCACGCCCCGGGGACGAGCAGGGGTGCAGGAAGGGGTGCCCAGCCAGGGCGCTGCCTTCATACCTCAGGCCTCTGCTCCCGCTGTTCCCCCTGGAACGTGTCCCCCTCCTCCCCTTCCAGGCGCCCCTCCCGGGGGCTCCCAGTGCAGTCCATCCTCCTTCACCAGGCCTGGCTCCCCCCCGCAGGGCCACACCTGAGCCGTCCGCGTGTCCCCAGAGCCCAGGCAAAGCCCTCTGAGGCCAGCTGGCTGGACAGGGGTGGCGGGTGACGTGGAGGAGCCAGAGGCCTCTAGGAGTCTGAAGCAGGGGAGTGGAGGGGCGGCTGCCAGCGACAAGGCCACACCTGAGCGGTAGTGACCAGACCCAAGACTTTGCCACAGCCCAGATCCCGTCCCAAGGCCGCTAGAGCTTCAGCACGTGGGATCCCGGGACACCGGACTCAGACTGCCCCGTGCAGACCCTGCCTGGGGCCACCTCAACCCGGCGGCGAGGCGAGGCACCCGGGCTCCTCCCGGCCATGCCCTGGTCCTCCCGTCTGCGGCTGGGCATCCCCAGGGTACGCCCGCTGAGCCGCACTGTCGGCTCTCTCCCAAGTCCCTTCCAGCCCCGCCGGCCACCCGGTACCCTCTGTTGTAGGAGATGCTGCCCTCGGTCTTTTAGTCCCAGCTCTCAGCCCCTTGATGGAAAGCCCCCTTGAGCAGTGGCTGCCCACGCCGGCCTCCTGACGCATGAAGGGGTGTATGGAGCATCCCTTTCCCTATGGGGTGGGGGACACCCAGGACCTTTGGGGGTGTCCGGAGACAGAGACCAGGGAGCTGTCCCATGGCACGTGGTGCTGCCTTGGGTAGTTCCCATGGCCTCTGTGAGCCTCAGTTTCCCCACCTCCCGTATGGGGGAAAGGCTGGCCTCTCATGATTAAGGTGGGATTGTGTCCCTCCTTGCTCGGGGAGCGCCTGTCCAAAGCCAGAGACGGAGGCGCCCTGGTTTAGAGCACGTAGGGGTTGGGGCCCCGGCTTTGGCACGCAGGCTCCTGAGGTGAGTTCTTGGGAAGCCGCCTCAGGCTGGAGGCTGCCCTGGAAACTGGCCCAGAGGAGGCGCGCTGGCGGTCCCCAGGGCCCGTTGCCGCGCTGCGGGTGCCGGAAGGAGCAGGCCCTGAGGAGCGTCCTTTCCCCCCGACAGGCACCGCGGCCCTCTCTCCATCTGGAAAGGGCAGAAAGGCTCGCAGCTCTGTGGAGCTCAGTCCCCCAACCCCAACCTCGGGTGGTGGCCGAGGCCCTCAGCTCCAGCTTCCTGTGTGTGAAGAGGGCAGGGAAGGGGTGCCCTCGGGTCCTTGGGAGCCCCCAGTAACCTCCTCTGACACCATCCCGCCCGTTGAGAACCAAGGACCAGAGAAGGTGGCTACACTCTTCGAGCCACACAACAGCAGCGGGACTTTAATTCCTGGGAGAGGCCAGCTCAGGGCCTCCCTGCTGTGGAAAAAGCGGAGGGTGCGGCACAGAGTCCCGAGAGGCAAGGTGAAGTGGCAGGAGGGCAGCGCGCTAGAACGTGTACCAGGAGTGGATGCAGGGGCCCTGGGAGCTCCAAGGAAGAAAGCCCATCAGTGAAGTGAGGTCCTGGGTCCAAGGAAGGTCTGGGCTGGCACTCCGTGGGACGGGAGCAGCCCCAGGAGGGGGCACAGGCAGCCGGCCTTCCCTAGGGGAAGGAGCAGGGACCAGGAGGCCTCAGGGCCCGCGGGGCTGTGCACCCGGGGTCGGGGAGGGGGAAGAGGGTGCTCACCCTGTGTTTGCACAGGTGCTGCACGACGCGCTCCGGCGAGGTGCCCAGCACGTGCTGGCGGGAGCGCAGGAGCGCGCACACGAAGCCATCGCGCAGGCTGATGAAGCGCGCCTCCAGGTAAAAGGCTCGGTCGTCCCAGCCCAGCAGGCGGGTGCGCACCTCGAAGGGCTCGAACAGGCGCAGCGAGCGGCGATAGCGCGCGCACGAGGCGGCCAGCACCGCGCGGGCCCCGAGCGCGCGCAGCGCACCCAGCACCCCGCAGCGCGTCAGGTGCGCGGCGCGCGCCACGTCGGCCTCGCGCAAGTAGCGCGCGTTGTTCATGTGCAGCAGCAGGTCCAAGTCCGAGGGCAGCACGCGGCCCGCGTAGCGCTGCTCGGCCAGCAGGTCGCGGACGCGCGGCTGCAGCAGGCGCGCGCGCAGCACGGCGCACGGCACGCGCACCAGGTACCAACCGTCCAGCAGCGTGAAGTAGGCGAGCGCCAGGACCAGCGGCGCCACGAGCAGCCCCAGCATCGCGGCTGCAGGCCCGGGGAGCGGCGGGGCCCGCGGCGCCGGGGCCGCCGGGGCGCGGGGCGCTGCGTCCGCCGCGCCGCTGCCCGTGCGGGAACCGGCGAGCGCCGAGCGACCGGAGCGAACCACCTCGCAAAGCCGGCTGGGGAGGGACGCGCGGGGGCGGCGGGCGCCGCGGCCTAGCCCCGCCCCCCCCCCGCCAGCATCCGCCCCCCCCCCGCGCGCGCACTCAGTGGTCCGCCCCCCTACGTCGCGCCCCGCCCACCCCGCTTTGGCCGCGCGCCGCGCCACAGCGGCATCTGGCGGTCGCGCCCCGCGCTGCAGGCGCAGAAGAGTGTGTGCTGGTCCCGCGCGTCTTCCCCTTCGCTGCGAGAGCCTTCGTTCCCTCCCCGGCCGTCGAAGGTTCGGACTGGCCCCGGAGCTTCGGTCCCTGATCTGAGCAGAATCGAAGGGTCCAGTACCTCCCGGCCAGAGGTGCAGGACTTTGCAGAAGTGGACGCAGCCGTCCGCAGCGCACTGCTTCAAGACTGTCCTGGAAACCGACCTTCCCACGCTACGAAATCTCCGGGGACCCTCCACCTCGGCAGGGCGCCCCGACCCCAGCGCGGATGCAGCCGACTCAGGCGCCTCCCAGTCTGGCCGCTATAGCCTTTTCAGTCCCAGCTTGTAGCCTCATTGCCCCCCCTCCCCCCAGCACCACCCCAGCCTCAGATCCTGGCATTCTCAAACTCACTCCCAAGCATTCCCATCCTTGGCCCTTTAGAAAGGGAGCAGATAGCGCCGGGATGGATGGGGGAGAGGCCTCTGCAAATGTGACGGGCTCCCCAGTGGCCTCGTAGGTGTCCGGAGCATGTCGGCTGTGGACCCCGCAGGGAGTAGCGTCCCCTCCAGCGTCCTCTCTGTCCCCTTCTCCGCAACCCTGGGAAGGAAAGCTCGGGAGAGGTCCATCCCGCTTTCCCAGCCCGCCCCCACTTGCCAGTGACCTGGGAGGCCACCTCCTCAGGACTGCACCGGAGCCCCGGCGAGGCGCAGGCGGCTCTGAGAAGAGCACCCCAGCGCCTCACTGAGACGGCTTCCGTCCAGTCCACACCGGGCCTGGGCTCCAGTTGGCTGCCAGCGTCACAGTGGCAGGTGGCTTGCCTTACGTCGGCCGCCATCGGGGCAGGAGCTGAGTTCTTTGCTTCTGGGGCCAGTAGGTGGGCAGAATGGGATCTGGGTTTTCCTGGGTCCTTGGATCTGCGTGGACAGGAGGTTCAATCTCTCTCAGGGAGGCCCGGCAGCCCCAGGAAAGGCCTTCCCCACACATTGTTCAGGCTTGTCCCTGTCCTGGCTCAGCTCCGCACCATCTGTCCCTGAGGCGGGACAGCTCAGCATGAAGATGTCCTTTGAGCACCCTTGGCAGCTGCTCTGTGAGTGCAGCCCAGTCACTCACCTTGTCCCAGGAGGAGACAGGAGGGGACAGGAGGGGCCGGTGGGCCCGCCTCTAGAACCCTGTTCCGGAGATGTCAGTGAAGGTTGGTAAGCAATAGAATGCGGGGGGGGCTTACAAGACCCCTGCCCCATCCGCCCACAGCCGGGGCTCCCTCTGCCCAGCTTCGTTCTAAGCTTCTGCCATCCACACTGGCCCCCCCATCAGACACCCACACCTCTGCCAGAGACCCTCCCTTCCGTCTTTCCCTTCCCTGACCCCCAGACAGTCTACATTCCCAGGGCCCTGGTCTCACTCTGCTTTTACACACGCTCAATTATGTCAGCAGGTATGTCGTCTCCTCACTGCGCCCCGAGGCCAGGAGGCCACTTGGATGGTGCGAACCTGGGGAGCCAGCATGATCCGTACCCAGCCGGGCACCCTGCGGGAACCCATGCCATCATGGCCGCCCACCACCCGGTGGCAGCAGCCCCGATGCGGGCGTGCTGCGGTGGTCATTGGCAGATTGTTGGGGGTCCGGGCAGGTCAGGAACCCCTGGCCATCAGACCCGGAACCCCTTCCCTCTGCTCTGCCTTCATGTCTGAGACGCAAAGAGGGAGGAGGGGCTGGGAGCCCGCTGACAAAGGTGGGGCCTCCACTCCCCCGCCTCCAGAGGGTCTGACGCATCACCCCTGCACCCACTCCAGCAGCGCCCCCGCTGCACCCCGAGTCCAGCCAGGGAGGAGCGGCGCTCAGAGGGGAGGGCCCAGGCCACTGACGAACACCATGGCCTGTCCACCCAGTAGTGTCTTTATAGACACCTGATTGCTCAAGGATGGAGACACACGCCTGTGCCAGGCAGACGGGCCTGGGATGGTGGTCTGGGGAAGGGAGGGCCGTGCGGGCCCTTGGCCCGAGGCTGAGTGTGCTGCGAGGGCCAGAGATGCCCGCGCAGGGACCAACCTCAGAGGCCTGACCTCAGTGAACGAGCACAAGGGGGAGGAGGGCTAGGAGCCAGCCGTGTGGCCTCAGGTCGGTCCCTTCACGTCTGTGCCCTGCCTCGCCGGGTGGTGGTGAGGAGCCGATGAGTGGCTGCATGGGAGACCGGTGAGCGCACGGCCTGTGAAAAGGGTGCCTGCTGCCATCATGTCCTGTGATGACGGATGCAGAAGGCTTGCACAGTGTCCCCAACACAGAATGCTTGGGAAATGGCATCTTTTTATTTTTATTTTTTTTTGGGAAATGGCATCCTAAAAGCTAACGTAAGTCCACCCGTCCAGCCGCAGGTACAGCGTGAAGGTCTCTGTTCCTTACTACGGAAAGACTAGTGTTTAGAAGGCAGTTCGCTGGGGCGGGCGTGCAGCGTGCATCTGCGTGTGTTTGCACAGGGCACGTACAAAGACGGAGAAGACGGTGAGCCATGTTATCCTAGGGTTCTGGGATCTGAGTCCTGTACTCTCTTCTGGCTGGCCTTTCCGTGGTTTGTGAAGATGAGGTGGTGTGGGGAGAGGGAGGTGGGGGTCCCAGGCCAGACCCTGCTGGCTGATGGGCCCTGGGCCTCCGCAGGTGGCTCCTTGCTGTCCCCACGGGGGGGGGGGGGCAATGTGCTGTGTGTGGGAGGATCTCGCCCCTCCCTCTGTCCTGGAGTGGGGGAGGGGCAAGACCCGCCCCCTCAGGCTCTCAGTTTGAGGCCACAGGAACTTGGGAATGGCTCAGGAGGTCAGAGGAGTCCCTGGTCCGGGGAATGGAGGACCCTGCTAGGTCCCGCACCTCTCGGGGCCTGCCTCTCCCCTCACCCGGGTCCAGATATTTCAAACCTAGAAGCCTGGGACAGGGTTTGGGGGTCCAGGGCACTGCCTCACTTCCCTGAGCCTTAGCCTGAAGGAGGACCTCCGTCTGAGGGTGTGGCTGACGTGTGGGCCACTGTGGGCTCCCTTCCCTGCTGGGGGCTGAGGCCGTCCCTCGGGACTTCCAGGCCCTGCCGCGGCCCCGGCCACACTGGGGTTTGTGATTCTCTCTCTGTGCTGTATTCCCGTCCGAGCCCCACCTGCTAACATGCTGCATCTTTCTGTATTGATCCCGTCCACCTGACCCCCCTGTCTGGTGAGCTCTGTGACCCAGGGTGGCTCTAGGGCATCGAGAGAGGTTGGGGAGAATCCATCCAAGCGCGGGAGACCACTGTTTCTGGTGTGCCTGGAACAGCGCCTGGAACGTCATAGGTGCTCTGTAACTATTTGCAGGGCAGGCGTACGGGGTCCTCTGCGGTCACCTGGCCGAGGTGGATGAGGCTGGGCCTACAACTTCAGGCCACAGAGTGCTGGCTGAAGCCCGGACCTGCCTGCCCACTGGCCCTCGTGGGCCAGAAGCTCTGCCTGAGGTCCCCGGCTCTGTGGTGCCCTCCAGGGAAACCGAGGCCAGCCCTGGACCCCAGACCGGAGCCAAGCCAGGTCTGCATGCTGAGCGTGCCTTGGGCCCCAGAGGGACAGGCGTGGGGGAGGCCAGAGCCGCACCGGAGCTGGACGCCTGGGCCGGGCCCTGGAGGCGAGGAAGGAGCGGCGGGGGGGGGGGGGGGGGGGGGGGGGGGGGGGGGGCCCGCAGGCCACTCTGGGGCGGCGTGGGGACTCCCCACCCAATGTTGCTGACCTGGGGCAGTGTCCCGCCTGAGGACACACACAGGGCGACTCTGGGCCTCTAGCCTCGACTTGTCGGTCAGTGTTGCCTGCCCTTCCCTCTCCACCCCAGAGCCCCAGAACCCCGGTTCTAACCCTGCCTCGGCCACCACTCAGTGGGGTCTTGGGCCAGAAGCGTCCCCCTGTGCAGGTCCCCAGCCCTCCGCTCACACGGCCGTTTCCAAGGGGCTTTCCCAGGAATTGAGGTGTGGGCCCGAGGCACACAGTACTGTGGGTGGAACCCCGCTCCTGGACAGGAGGGACCTGGGGTCAGGGGGTCAGGGGGCGGCTCCGCTGGGGACCCTTTTGCATAGTTTGAGTTTTTCACCGTGGATGTGGAGAACTTACAGCAGACAAAATAAAACTTCTAAGAAACAGGGAGGGGGCTCTCATCAGGCAAAGGGGGAGGAGAGGGCGGGACACTGAGTCGCAGCCCCTCCCACCGAGAAACCTCTGTGTCTTGTGAATCCTCAACCCTCACAGCAGGGAGAGGTCCCAGGCAAGTATCTGAGGCTCAGAGAGGTCAAGTGACATGGGTGAGGCCACACAGCAGGAGCCGGGGGCCCCAGCGACGCCGCCCTGCCTTCTGCAGCTGCGTCCTCCCTTCCCGGTGTCTGGCATCTGCTCCTGCCCAGGCTGGAGCTCCGCCCTATGTGGCTGGCTCCGGATGTGGTCACAGCCCACCGACGTGGGGCCAGGTGGGAATCCAACACAGCCCCGGCCCCCCACCCTGACTCCCCACCCAGGGGCACACGAGACCAGCGCTCTTTGTAGCTAAGTCAGCGGGAGTTTATTAAGGGCCTACTGGGTGCTGGGGTGCTGCCCTAGGACTCCCAGGGACATTGGACGCTGGAGCCCCTCCACACCTCATCTCCTGGGGCTCCTGGTCCCTCTCACTCCCTGCCTCTCATTCTACTCAGTACATTTCACCTCAGCCTTTGTGGGGCCCTCCTGCGTGCCTGCTCCTTGCCGGCACAGGTGACCCCAGGTGTGGGACACGGCTCAGTTGGTTGAGGTAGAGGGAGTGGCCAGGGAAGGCTTCCTGGAGGAAGAGCATGCCTGAGCGAGGATTAAGGAGTAGGTTGGAATATAGGGGGTGTATGGACTGTGTGTGCGCTGTTCTGCATCAATAGAGCCCAGCCTGCTGGGCAGCAGGAGCTGGGCCGGAGTCCGGGGGGGGGGGGCGAGGCATGGGAGGCTAGATATGGCAGATGGCCACAGCCTGACCTGAGTTAGGGTCCAGGAAGGGCCTCAACGGGACAAGGTGTGTGTGAAGAGTGCCCTGGGGCCCCTGGGACACAGTGGGGTCCTCCTGCATCCTACACCTGGCTCAGACCCCAGAGCAGCAGGCCCCCGAGAGCAGGGAGCAGCACCACGGTGACAAGAGCTGGCTGCAGGGCATGGGCCCCACTGAAATTGCACAGGTCAGTGGAGCAACATGTGATGTTCTTCTTGGCCAAGAAGTAGTTCTCTGAGTCCTCCATGCACTTCTTGCTGCAGCCCTTGCTAAGGATGGTCAGGAAGCCAACAGCACCTGGGGGTGGGGGCCACACAGCTAGGGCTGGGTCCTGGGTATTCACCCACCTGGCCTTTCTCAGCTCCCATGGCCCTCTTCCTGTGCCTACTCTAAAACTCTAGAGTCACCCCCCCGCCCCCGCTGTGATACCTCAGGACTGCCAGCCATGTGAGGGCAGGTGCTTGGGCCCATCCATATCCACATGCCCAAGGCGGGCAGACCTGCTGCTGGGCACTAGGCATGCCTAATGAGGGGGTGAGTGCAGGCATGGGTGGGTGGGTGGATGGATGGATGGATGGATGGATGGGTGGATGGATGCAGGGATGGATGGATGGATGGATGGTGGATGGATGCAGGGATGCAGGGATGCAGGGGTAGATGGATGAATGGATAGGTGATGGAGGGGGATGGATGGATAGATGGTTGGATAGATGGATGGATGGATGGATGGATGGGTGATAGACGGCTATGAGTGGACAGACAGACAAGGGATAGGTGGAGGAATGAATGGATGGGAAACTGAACACCTGTATCTGTGGCTGGATAGATGAACAAGTGGCCAGGTAGACTGAGGATGAGCGGCTCAGTGGCAAAGACCTAAACTCGGGTTCCCTGGGTCCCTACCAAGGCGGAGAAGGGAAGAGCAATAGGCGGGGCAGAGCCACACCCAGCCCAGTTGGGGGGAATCTGGGCAGGGCCACGGGGAGGACTGGGGGGGCAGCAGGGCCACTCACGGATGCGCTCGGTCCAGCAGTAGGTGTCGGAGCGGGCGCATTTCGTCACGTTCAGGCAGTCCTCGTTGCTCACCTGTGCATGGCAGGAGTAGCACTGCAGCGCGCTGCCTGGGGGGCGGGGGTGTGCTCAGAGGCCGCCCTCCCACCGGCTGGGGAAGGAGCCTCGTTTTCTCATCTGTCACACTTTCCAGGCTGCTGGGAACGTGCGAGAGCACAAGAGCCTGCTGCAAACCGGGACATCCTCGCAGGGAGGGCGCTACGCTCATCAAAGTCCACCCAGGAAGGCTCCAGTGCCCACTTCTGTCTTGGCACCTGGAACCCACCAGTAGCGCCCCGGCCCACCCCCTCAGGGTTTTATTTTTATTTTATTTTTTACATTTATTTATTATTATTATTTGTTTGTTTGTTTGTTATTTATTTCTAGGAGACAGAGAGAGAGACAGCATGAGCAGGGGAGGGTCAGAGAGAGAGGGAGTCACAGACTGAAACAGGCTCCAGGCTCTGAGCTGGCAGTCAGCACACAGCCCGACGCGGGGCCCGAAGCCACGAACCGCGAGATCATGACCCAAGCGAAAGTCGGACGCTTAACCGACTAAGCCACCCAGGCGCCCCTACATTTATTTATTATTGAGAAACAGAGACAGAGCATGAGCAGGAGAGGGACAGAGCGAAGGGGAGACTCCGAATCTGAAGCAGGCTCCAGGCTCTGAGCTGCGCACAGAGCCCAACGCGGGGCTCGAACCCACCAACTGCAATATCATGACCTGAGCTGAAGTCGGACTCTTAACCGACTGAGCCTCCCAGGCGCGCCTCCCTCAAGGTTTTAAAGCTCTGTTAAAATGCCTATGGTCCAAGAGAGAAGGGGGTGATGCACCCCAGTGTGGGATCTGGCTCACCCCACTTGGCAGCTGGCCCGGCTGAGCACTGGGCAGGTGAGGGTAGAGTGGACAGTATCCTTCCCAGATTTGCTCACGCCCTTCCATCACTGTCTCTAATAGCCTGTGCGAACCCAACCCAGCCTTCCGGCCCCTCCCAGGCCTCCCCAGGGCCGTGGGACCCTGCATGCCCTTTGTGGGTCCTGCTCTTTCCCTGGGAGTAGTGGCCCCAGCTGTGACCACCATAAGGTTTCCTCCGATCGAAACAGTGCTGAAGCTGGGCCACAAGTCACCCAGTTGCGAGCAGGCCCCTCGTTGCCAGCCCTGTGCTCGGGCCCCACACACCAGCTGACCCCCAGCAGCCTTTCGGGCCATTGTCACGACCCCCACTCTCTAGAAGAGGAAGCTGAGGTGTGGAAGCTCTGAGAGGTTTAGCAATTACCCAGGATGGGAAGAGATTGAGCGGAGGCCCTCACCTGCCCCCCGGACCTTGGCCTGGGTGTGTCCTGTCCTTGCTGCCCACAGTGAACCCCAGGGCCGGGCCTGGGGAGGGGACCCAGGGCCTCTCAGGACAGACCCCAGCCCTCTCCGCTTCACTCCTCCCTCCTTGCCTTCCTAACTTGAGGCTTTTTGCCCCTGTGCCTCCTCTCTACCCTGCAGGCTCTCGGTGCCTCCCTCGTCTGTGTGCCCCTCCGAGAGCCAGGCCCTGCGCCACAGCGGGCCCCTGCCTGCCGTGCCCGCCTCTGGCTGAGTCCTTACGGCATCCGGGCTGCACGCTGAGCCGCCCCAGAGGGAGACACAGCAAGGACGAACTCTCCGTCTTCCTGCCACTGCCTGTTTCCTTCCACCTGACCTCCCTCCTCCCCGGCCCCCTCCTCCACCTCCTCCCTCTTCGTCTTTCTGGGTGGGTGCTCTCTCTGAGGGCCCCTCTGGTCTCCCTGGGCTGCCCCCACCCCAGCCCCATTCCCATGGCCCTGCCCCGAGCTGGGGGGGGGGGTCTTACTTGGCTGCAGAGCCAAGCTGATGGCCAGCAGGGTGAGGACGACGGCCTTCATGGTCACCACCGGGCAGCAGGGGTGTGGACCTCAGGGTGGCTTTATATCACTTTGGCTGGCGAGGGGGAGGCTCCACGGCCCACTGTCAACATGCACAGGCTCCCGTGGGCCAGCAGGCACCGTAGGGCTGGCAGATCCCAATCTCCAGCTGCCAAGCCAGGCTGCACCCCGCCACTCCCTTTGTCCTCCCGTCTGCTTCCGGGAGATAGAGCCCTCCCCACCCCTGGTGGTTTCTGGTCCACCCCAGGGCGAGGTGCCAGGGTTTGCCCACCTCACACCCAGCTGGGAAGCCAGAGAGGGGTGGCCATCTTCTCCAGGGTTGAAGGTGACCTCCCTGGGTCCTGTTGTGCTCCTAGGGCTCCTGGTCCCATAGGAGCCACAGACCTTGGATGGCTGCAAACAAGAGATGCCTCGCCGGGGGGGGGGGGGGCGGGGGGCGGGGGAGGGCTGCTCTGGGAGGTGCCCTGGAGGCTTGGGGGTGGGGGCTGGCACAGCCAAAGTGCGCAGGGGTGCGGCATCAAATGTGTGCAGGCCAGGGCGCAGGCTTACCCCTGTGACCTCACTGAGTCCCCACATGGTATGAAACTTTAGCTGCAAGGGAGTCCGTGAAATGCAGTGTTAGCATTCTCTGCAGTCGGAGGAGGTGGGGGGTTTGGCACCAGGCACGACATTACCTGCACCCAGACCCGCTCTCCCCCTGTCTGTGTCCTGGGGTCCCACAAGGATTCCAAAGGCGCTTCTGCTGGCTGGAGACTGCAGGCGGGAGGCTCAGAGGCCGGGCCATCTCTCCGGCCGTGCTCTGACAGTGGGTGCGCCGTGCGGTGAGTGCTGTGTCCCCATGGGCCAGCTGGCTGCCCTCCTGCTGGCCCTGGCCAGCCTGTGCCGACAGTTCCTTCCCCCCGCTCCCCCCGCCAAGCCCAGGGGCCCAGTGGCTTCCTGCTGCCAGTGGCCTGGGGCCCGTTCTCAGTCCCCATTGTCCCTCCAAACTCACCCTTCCCTTTGTAAACAGTCTCCCCATGATCCCTTGGAATGTCCAGCCAGGTGTTGGGGGGTACAAGCCATGCCCACAGCCTGCTGACCCCAGTGGGTCTGGGGGAGGGGGCAGCGAGAGGTCCCTCCCAAGGGTGGGGAGAGGACCTTTCACTTCCTGATGCCCTCCTGGCCCTATGGATGGCATCTCTGACCTCACTTTACCCTCTGGCTTTCCCCCCTGGGCTCCTCCCTGGAAGGAAGGCCCAGGGCAGAGCAGGGGCTGCACTCAATGGAGAAACGCTCCGCCTCCCAGCCCTCCTGGGGAGCAGGAGCGACCCTTCCTGGTGGGGGGCAGCTTTCATCCTCTCACCCTGAGTCCTGGATCAAGGTGACACAGTGACGTGGGCCAGGGGTGAGACCCAGACCTTCCTGGCACTCACCACACCTCTGTGTTCTTTCCTGCCCAGGCCCCTGATACCTGCCACTTTGCACCCTTTCCCCTGGAGGGTGTCTCCTGAGGCACAGAGAGGGACAAGACCTTGCTCAAGTTCACCTAGAAGTGAGCATGGTCCCCCTGATCCCGCCCGCAGTCCCATCAGCTCAGGTGCCTCGGAAGGTAAAATGTGACTCCCCTGTGCCTGGCCGGCTGCCTGCCTGCACCCCCCCCCCCTCCGCCCAGCTCACGTGCACTGGGGGTGCTCTGGACTGGAGTCTTTCTTTCTTATCTGTCTTTTTACTCGAGGCACTCAGTACCCAGCACCAGCCTGGACATTCATTCCTCAAACATTGACAGGTACGTGAGTGTTTGTTATTCTGATTTGATAGGAGGCGATTGCTCTCTGGCCTTCTTCTCACGCAGGTGCTATGTGCCCTGGGCACATTTGGCTTAATGCCTGAAGACATTGTCGGTTGTCCCGAGGGGGGAGGTCATCCTGCACAGGACGCCCCTGCCACAGAGACACACCCAGACTGAGGCCTGTAGAACGTGCGGGCAGGCGGCCTGTGCAGGGCCGTGGCTTGGGACTTGCCCAGGACCCACTCCCGCTTCCTTCCTTCCTTCTGATACCCCTGGAGGGAAGGTCTCTCCCGTGTCTGTCTTGTCCTGCTGTCTGGAAGCACGTGACTTGTCTGGTTTCCCAGGTGTGCACGCAGGTGTGCAGCTGCAGGAACCATGGTCTCACCCAGACCTGATGTTGGAGCCGACGCTGGCACCTGTTAAGACTTCGGGGCTGACGGGAAGGAACGAGTGCACCTTGCGTGTGAGAAGGACATGGGTTTTGGGGTGCCATAGACAAAATGCTCTGGTCTGGAATTGTGTCCCCCCTCAATTTCCTACATCGAAGCCCTAACCCCAATGTGATGGCCTTTGGAGGTGATTAGGTTCAGATGAGGCCATGGGGGGGCCCTGATGGGGGAAGTGCCCTAATAAGATCAGACACCAGAGTTCCCCCTCCCCCTCCCCCGTGAGCATGCCAGGAAGGGGGCCTCCCCAGAAGCCGACCCTGCCGGTGCCCTGATCTGACTCCAGCCTCCAGAGCCGCAGGAAGACAAATGTGTGTGGTGTTCAGCACCCGGTCTGTGGTGCTGTTTAGGGCAGCTGACAGATATGGAAGCCCATGGCCACGATGCCCTAGGGATGGCCCTCACTCCACCTCTGACCCCAATCAAGCTCCTTAGGGTCACAGCCTGAATCCTGGCCCTGCTCACCGAGTGAGCCCTGATCCTGACTGTACCCTGAGCCCTGACGCTGGTCACTGACTGCATCGTGTCCTGTCATCCATGCTTTGGACACACTGAACACAGCCGCTAAGCCCACCCTGAGCCTGGACTGGCTGGTCACAAAGGGGCGGGACTCCCCGCAGAGGACGGGGTCAGGGTGTGGCTTTGACATGACTCACCCTTAGCTCCCTTGTGTCACCTCCCAGGGCTCTGGATTTTCTTGTTCTCCCTTGGCTCCCCACACATCTGCCCAACCAGTTGAGTGTCCTGAAGATCTTGTCTGCCCACGTCGCCCCCTGGCCGGGGCTAGTGGGACTGGAGCAGGGCCGGGCCCCGGGATGAGGCAGGATCGCTGACCCCCCCCCACCCGCGGACTCCTTGCTGACAGACCGTGACCTCCTATGGCTTCCACCCTGTCCCACACACTTGAATGGACACCTTTTTGGATGAATCGTGTATTTTATGCAGAACTAATTAGAAAAATGAAGATGGTATGTGAATTACAAAACCACAGTTGATTTCACCTTCCACTTTTATAGACCTTTTTCCTTTAGAAAAACGCATTGGTAACTCGAGAGGCCAGTCCCACGTGCTGCCAGACTACTGGCTGTCGGGGGGGGGGGGGGGAACGCGTGCCCATGACTGTTGGGAGGGGGGGGCGGGACACGCGCCCAGTGCGAGGCTCCCGCTGTGGGTTCTGGAATCAAGGTCATGTCTCGAGCCTGCTTCCCACTCCCAGCCCACCAGGGCCTTCCTCCCCTTCCCCCGCCCTCGCCATCCCGCCATCCGGGGTGTGAGTCAGTCTCTAACTCTGCGAAGGGCCTTGGACCCCTGGGGAGGTGCCTCTTCCTGGTTCTCACAAAGCTGTCCTAAGCACCTTCCCTGACTCTGCCCCAAACCTGTCCCCTCCTGCAGTCCCAGCCTCAGCCCCCTGCTGGCTCCTCCTCTCTGCTCACCACCCCCATCTCTTCCCTCCAGGAGGGAGTGAGGTCGATGAGCCCTGGAGACCAGGCCCACCTGAGGCAGCGCCGCCCCCCTGCCAGGGGGTGTGGGATGCACAAACACCCTCAGCCTGGAGCCAAAGCCCGACCTTTGCTGTAAGAGAGTTGTCACCCCAAGCCCCTCCTTCTGGGGACTGGCTGGTGATGTTTCCCACCACCTGCCAAGGCCTCCAGAGGCTGGGGGCATGGCTCTGCCACCTCCAGGGCGAGGATGAGGAAGGTATTCAATCTTAGAGGAGGAATCCCTGTGGGCTCAGAGGAAGCAGGGGGACCCTGTGGAGCCCACTGGAAGGCCAGGTGGGGCAGGGGGTGACCTCAGACTGACCCTCTCAAGGCGACTCTGGCTGTGAACGGAGATGTGGAGGCTGCTGTGGTGATCAGGGGTGGTCTGGGGGCTCAACCCTGTGCATTGGGGGTGCTGGGGGCTGGGGCCCTCAACGCCAGTTCCCAGGAGACACCAGTTCTTTCTCCACCTCTCTTTATGCCCCTTTCTTCTCAGCCAGCGTTGGCTCAGTCCTTGAGACAAGGCCTAAGGGTCCCAGAGTGTTGCGGAGAGCATCAGGCGGAATCCCATGCTTTGTGGGGATCAAACCCAGGCCCCTGCTCGCCCCATGCCGGGAGTGGGAGGTGGGGGGCATGGGAGCCCATGTCCATGAGGTGGCAGCGCAGTGTCTCAACACAGGGATGGAGCCAGTGTTCCTGGGGGGCCGCCTGGCTGCCCCAGGAGACCCTGCTGGGTCCCCCTCATGTTCGCGTCAGGCTCTGTTCTGCCTCTAGCATGCCCAGATTCCTGACCCACAGAACCGTGCGCAGCAAAATGGTTACTGTTTCAAGCCCTTGAGTTTTGGGGTGCTTCATCGTGCAGCAGTAGATGGCAGACAGGGGCGAAGACAGACGCGAGGGGACAGGGGGGTGGCTCCGGCTGAGAAAGAGCGGTTGGTGGGAGTGAGGAGGTTGGATGTGGCACAGATGGGGAGGGCAGAGCCCCTCCCCAATCTGGGTGTGGGGTGTAAGGGACAGAGTCCAGCATGACTGAATTTTTGGCTGGAGGGAATGGAAAGAGGACCCTGCCACTCACTGAGACGGGGAGTGTGTTGGTGGAGCAAGGCTGGCCGGTGTCACAAGCTCAGGTCTAGAAATGTTGAGCATGAAGTCCTCACAAAGGGGATGCCGGGAAGGGCACAGGCATCTGGAGTTCTCAGGAGGGGTCCTGGCAGGAGACCGGGCTGTGGGAGCTGCCGGCCCTTGCTGGTACTTCCATGGGAGTGGCGATCACCCAGGGAGTGGGTGTGGGGAGAAGGAGAGAGCCCAGGAGTGAACCCCGGTCAGTAATCCTCAGTGGGGGCGAGAAAGGAGGGTCTGGGGCAACAGCACCCTGGGAGCCCAGGGGAGAAAGTGGTGGAAGCCAGAGGGAGCCATAGAGGTCTGTCAAGGCTCCCTGTGGCTGCTGCAACAAATAACCTTACGTCCGGAGGTTAAAACAGCACACAAGGTGTCAGCAGCGCTGGATCCTCTGGGAGTGACTATGTATCCTTGGCTGGCAGCCCCTCCTCCACCCACAAAGCACACGCTCCGACCCGTGTCTGTTGCCACATTTCCATTTTTCCCTCTGCTTCCTGCGGCACGTTGTCTTCCAGACTCTGTCCCTCCTTCCTCCCTCTTACAGGGTCCCTGTGATAACACTGCCCCCGACCCCCCCATCCCTGCGATAATCAGGATAATCTCCCCATCTCAAGAATCTTAACTTAATCGCATAGCAAAGCCCCTATTGCCACCTGAGGTCACGTACTCATAGGTTCCGGGGAATGCGGGTCTGGGCAAGGGACGGGGCTGCTTTATTCGGCCGCCACAGCTGCACTCTGGTCTCCAAAGGCTCCCATTTGTCCTGCGTGGAAAACACACGCACCGCATCCCAAGGCTCCCCGAAGTCTCAACTCCTGCTGCATCCGGTCAAGTGTGAGTCTCATCAGCTCTCAAGTCTCAAACGTCAAGTCCAAAACCTGCAAATTAGGTGTGGGTGAGGCGCCAGCCAAACAAGGGGCCGAGTGGGAAGAAAACCGCGGTGGCCACTGGATTTCACCCAGGGAAGGGGGCGGCGTCACCGGCCTCCTGCCGGCCCTGCCCGGGACTGCAAGGCCCCCACGACCTTCGGCCCAGCGCCCCCCACTCAGCAGAACTCGAGCCTCCAAGGCCCCTGCGCCCGTCCCGCGGGTGCACGACGCACAGGTGCAAAGGGAGGGGCCGCCCACGCCCCACCCACCGGCCCCACGCCCCACCCACCAGGCCGCCCGCAGGGCCACCGAGAGGCCAAGTCAGTCCTCCGGGCCGCCTAGAGCGTCCCGGAAGTGGCCGGGGGAAGGGGGCCAGGCGCGGCCCGACGGCGCGGAGAGAGGCGGCACTTCCGGCGGTGGCAGCGGCGTCCCGGGTCCGCAGGTGAGTGGGGGCCGGGGCTGGGGTGTGGGGGACGGACGCCGCGCAGTCTGTGCTCCCTGGCCGGGGGCTCCTCCCGTCCCAGCCCCGCCGCGGGGCCGCCCCTTGCAGACTCCCGGGGGCCCCGCCTGAGGAAAGCTTCGGCCACGGGCGCCCCGCCCCCCGCCCGCCGGACGTAGACTTGCACTTTTTTCTGTTTTCCCTTTTTGGGTTGTTCCCGTGCCCTGGACTGAGCTTTCACCTCTAGACGTGGTCCCCTCCAGCAAGCCTGCCCTCAAACCCGACTGACCCCTCGGCTCCCGGTTCCCGCGGACGCCCTGGGCCCGGGTGTGACCGCCGGCGCCGCGCAGGACAGCCCCCCGCCCCCCGCCGCCGCGCCCCGCGTTCCTGCGGGTCCTCGGCCCCTCCTGCCCGCGGGTTCCACCGGGTCTGCCTCGGTCTCCGGAGCACCTGTGGTTTCCGTGTTTCCCCTCAGCCCCCTGCCCTGCACACTGCGGTGCTCCCGGGGGAGGCGGTTGCTCGCTTTTTCTCCTGAATCTCCAGGGCTCTTTTCTAGGGACAGGTTCCTTCCCTCCGGCCCGGTCTCTGGCCCCTTATGCCCTCTCCCCAGCTCTTTCTCTGTCCCTCGGGCACAGGAGGATAAGATGTTAACATCCGTGTTGTGTGGCTTCAGTATCAGTGCTTACTTTGAATTCACAAGGCTACATCCCACCCACCCCCGCCCCCCACTTCATTGTCCTCACGTTATCAGGTTACCCTTTGGTTTAAGAAGTTGTTTCAAGAATACCGGAATATCCGCGTTTCAGGTGTGCGGGAAGTTTTGTTTCACAGACTGGACCATAGTGTTTTCAACTTCCCCGCGTTACACTGCACACACCTGCATGTCCCCAGCGAGAAACATCCCCAAAGGTCCTATCTCAGGTGCGGAGCCTCCTCCAGGAGGCCTTTTCTACAGTTGCAGCTCCTCCTTCTCCTTCCTGCTGTGCTTAGAGTTAGTCCCTGTCAGGTCCAGGCCTCATTTTCCTGGGGTGCTGTCCTGTGGAACCCTTTTAAGAGTGAGTTGTGGCCTTTACTGCCCTTCTGGTAGTGCCAGCAATCTGCCGTCACGCCATCATTCCCAGAAACTAGGGTGGAAGTGGGATCCATAAAGGAGCAGCACCCTCACTTTGCAGACCAGGAGACTGACCCAGAAGGGGGAATGGACACACCCAGAGCTGGCTGGTGACGGGCCTAGAGTTTGATCTCAAAGGGCTGTATTTTTGTGCTCTGCATGTGACTAGTCCCTTGACTCACCGTCTGCTTATCTGGGAAGACACGTCCAAAGTAAGGGTTGGGGAGGGAGTTTCTAGAAGCCCACGGTGAGGACCGCCTGCCTTTCATCACAGGACGTGACAGCAAGCAGGCTGTAGCTGCTGCCCTGGTGAGAGGGGAGTGAGGGCCGGGGGCCAAGTCATGAAGGAAGTTAGGGGACCCTCCCTCCAGACACTGCACTGCGTCGATCAGTGGGCTGGTCAGTGTCCAGGCAGCAGCTCTTAACTCCCCCAGGCTGGAGGCTGTCCGTGTCTCAGCAGGCGAGGTGTGGTGGTGAATCTCAAAGGGTCCAGCAAGGACACCTCTCCTCCGCCCTGCAGCGCAGGGAAGGCAGGGGTGTTGGGGCAGATGGTGGGAAAGGATGCATTTGTCTGGCCTGAAGGAGCTGCAGTGGCCGAGAGGTCACTTGGCGGAGCCAGGAAGAGCCAGCGCACCCGGCGGGGCAGCCCCCCCGGTGCCGCACCACTGTGGCCAGCTCACGTGTGGGTCACCCCAGCACGCTCTGGTTTCCGCGGCGGCTTCCCCGCAGGCCCACACTAACGGGCATGTGTGCAGGTGGCTCAGACGCGTGGTCGATAACATTCTTTCTTCCCTTGTTCTGCTTTCCAGTTCCTGAAGCGTGGCCTGTGGGACCATGCCGTGAGCGCAGAGGGGTGTCCCCAGCACAGACAGCGCAGCCTCGGTTAACCAGCAACCAGCCCCAGCACCCCTCTACTCTGTGGTCCATGTTTGAAAGGAGGGGCTGCCCTTGTCCCCCTGAGAGAAGGCCAGACGTTCCGGCGGTGTGACCCTCGTCTCCTGTGGAGCGCGCCAGGAGCCGCCAGCGTCGCTAGGAGCCCGAAGCTGAAGCGAGAGGCTGCTGACACCAGAAGGAGGAGCAGAGGAGGAACAGAGGCCTGCGGTGGCCCCGGGGTCAGTGGGACGGGGCGGCAGAGTGGAGACTGAAGCAGGCGGGGGCAGGAGAGGCCGGCAGTCCATCGGGCCCCGCTGCGAGCGCGTCCCCACCCCTGGGGACGGGCAGAGTCCACATGGCCTCCAAGCAGGCTGCGGGGAGGAGCCCGGGGGAGAAGCGCAAGAGGGTGGTGCTGACCCTGAAGGAGAAGATCGACATCTGCACACGCCTGGAGAAGGGAGAGAGCCGGAAGGTGCTGATGCAAGAGTACAACGTGGGCATGTCCACCCTGTACGATATCAAGGCTCACAAGGCTCAGCTGCTCCGCTTCTTCGCCAGCTCGGACTGCACCCAGGCGCTGGAGCGGCGGCGCACCCTGCACACGCCCAAGCTGGAGCACCTGGACCGTGGCCTGTACGAGTGGTTCCTGGCAAAGCGCGCCGAGGGCGTGCCCGTGTCGGGCCCCATGCTCATCGAGAAGGCCAAGGACCTCTACGAGCAGATGCGGCTCACAGAGCCCTGCGTGTTCTCCGGCGGGTGGCTCTGGCGTTTCAAGGCCAGACACGGCATCAAGAAGCTGGATGCGTCCAGCGAAAAGCAGGTGGCCGACCACCGGGCGGCGGAGCAGTTCTGTGGCTTTTTCCGGAGCCTGGCAGCCGAGCACGGCCTGTCCCCCGAGCAGGTGTACAGCGCCGACGAGACCAGCCTCTTCTGGCGGTGCCTGCCGCACCCCAGCCTGCAGGGCGGGACGGCGCCCGGCGTCAGGCAGAGCAAGGACAGATTGACCGTCCTGATGTGCGCCAACGCCACCGGCTCCCACAAGCTCAAACCGCTGGTGATCGGGAAGTGCGGCGGCCCTGGCGCGCATCACGGCATCCAGCACCTGCCGGGCGCGTACAAGGCCCAGGGCCACGCGTGGGTGGACAAGGAGATCTTTGCCGACTGGTTCCACCACATCTTCGTTCCCTCCGTGCGGGAGCACTTCCGCGCCGTGGGCCTGCCCGAGGACGGCAAGGCTGTCCTTCTGCTGGATGGCGCCCGGGCGCGCCCGCGGGAGTCGCAGCTGCTTTCCGAGAACGTGCTCACCGTCTTCCTGCCCGCGGGCGCCACCGCCTCCGTCCAGCCCATGGACCAGGGCATTCGGAGAGATTTCCTGAGGAACTTCATCAACCCTCCCGCCCCGCTGCAGAGCGCTCACCCCCGTTACAGCATGAACGACGCCATCGTCAGCGTGGCCTGTGCCTGGAGCGCGGTGCCCCGCCACGTCTTCAGCCGGGCCTGGAGGAAGCTGTGGCCTGCGGTCACGTTCGCCGAGGGCTCGTCCTCTGAGGAGGAGCCGGAACGTCTGCGAACGAAGCCTCACGACCAGACTTTTGCACACATCCTGGAGCTCGGTAGAGAGGCCCCAGCCCGGCCCGGCCACCGGCTTCACCGGGGCGCAGCCGCCGAGCAGGATGGGCTGGATCGCGAGGCCGGAGAGGGCCTGGCCCCGTCTGCGGGCGGCCCGGAGCAGGTGGAGAAGGAAGGCGACGAGGAGGCCTGGGAGCAGGCGGCCTTGTCCTTTGACGCTGTCGTCCGCTTCGCTGAGGGACAGCCCTGCTTCACGGCACAGGAGCTGGGACAGCTGCGTGCGCTGCGCTCGGTGTTTGCGACACAGCGGCAGGTGAAGCGGCGGCGTCTGGCCCTCAGGGCCGTGGTCAAACTCGAGGCCCCCCAGGAGCTCTCCCCTCTGCCCTGCTCGTCCGCGGCGGCTGAGGACTGACGGCCAGGGGTACCGCAAAGCCGGCCAGAGCTCGCCCAGGAGTGCCCGGTGTGGGATCTCGGCAACTTGGGGCAGCCCGTCCTGCGTGCCCTGGCGCGTTGCAGGCTGGCCGTGTTTCCTCTCCTGGCGCGTGAACGTGAGAAGCCCTCCTGCAAGGGTCCTCCAAACCGAGAGCCTGCCGGAACGTCCGGTGACCACAACCCAGGACCGAACCCTGTGCCAGCTGAACCCTGCTGTGTGTGCGGGTGGAGAGGCCTGTCCGTCCAGGAGGAGAGAAGCCGGCCCTCAGGCCAAGCGATGGCAGTCCCTGCGGCCACTGGACGGGGCCAGCGTTACCCACGGCCTGGCCCGCCCTCCCCAGGGCCTGGGTCTGCCGTGTGGCCGCCGTCACTGCCAGGTGGGCGCCGACGGCTGGGACTCCGCTTTTGACCACGAGTCAGCAGAACAGGCTTTATAGGCAGCGTGTCGTCACCCTGCTCTCGTGTCCCCACATGAGCCACGGCCGTGCTCAGCCACACCGGCCTCCCGCACGTTCCCGCTGGGACCCCAGGGTGTGGGGGCCGCGTGCTGCGCTGGCACGATGGAGTCCCTCCCCAGCGCAAACAGGACCGTGTGCCTGGGGTGCCCACCACCTTGAGGGAGGCTGTGGCGCACCGCCTGCAGGCCCGATGCCCGGGCTCCGAGTCCGCTGTGTGTCCCCCGGACTCGGCGCTTCCCGCCTGCGCACTGACGAACCTCTGGGGCGTCCCAAAGCGAGCCCTGGGTCTGCGTGCGCGGCAGGCACTGCAACCAGCTGCTTAGATTTCTCGCAACATTTGAACTCCTATGTTGGGCTCTTCAGGCCTCAGTGCCGCGTGCGGGCCCCGCCTGGCCGTGGGGGGACGCGGTCGCTCCTCTAGCCTCGCCGGTCCCACCGCGGCCCCTCGTTGGCTGTGCTCCCCTCGCGGGTCCTCTCACCACTGCATCCCTGGATCCACGGCCTGGCGGCTGCTCCAGCTCAACACTTTCCTTCATCCGCTTGCTGTGCGTCCCACCGGGAGCCGCGGGAACGGCGTTTGCTGCGCAGTCGGCCTCCCGAATGCATTCACGGCTTTTTGGACACAGGTGACAGCCACGGGGCTGCACGTGGGCCGGGTGTGTGTGAAGATTGGGAACTGAGCACAGGCCATTTTAAAAGGCTTATCGCTAAGTCCTTGGGCCAGATCGCGCCAGGGCTGTGCCGCTATCACTTCCTTCGTGTGCGTTGGGCCGCTGCTGTCGAATGGCAGCTGCATGCGGCGTCAGGGACGTCAGGTGTCAGGAGTCACCAGAGCGCTTGCCCTCAGCAGCCACGGGCAGCGGAGAGGTGGACGGACATGCTGAGAAGCTCTCCCCCCACAACCTGGCGTGGTTCTTGACTTTGCTGGGTGGGTGGCCCCAGGGTGGGGGAGCAGGTGGGACTCCTGGCTCCTAGGTCCCCTGTGGACGCCATGTCCCCATCAGACTCCAGACCCCAGGCCATGGATTCTCACCTGCCCTCCCGACCTGCCCCCTGTCCTGGCCGCTTGGGGGCCAAACAATAAATGCTCGTCACCAGATGGCCTGAGGCGGGGGGGGGGGTTGTCTGTCCTCCAGGCTCTCCTTCCAGAACCAGCCACAGAGCTTGGCACTGCTTGGGAGGTTCTGGGCAGAGCAGGACAGGCACCTGGAGGCCTCGGGCGGAGCGAGCTTCCCTGGGCTGCAGGCGGAGGTACACGGCCACGTGCAGGGGCTCACGCAGGCCTCCGTGCCCGCCTGTCCTCCGAGGGCCCCTCCCAGCTGCCTGCCTGAGTCTCGTGCCCAGCATCAGGCTCAGTGGTTGGAACGTTTAGCGTCAGAATCTTTTTCCCCCAAACAGTTCTTTAAAAAAATTTTTTAATGTTTCATTTATTTCTGAGAGAGAGTGAGAGCGTGAGCAGGGGAGGGTCAGAGAGAGGGGGAGACACAGAATCTGAAGCAGCTCCAGGCTCTGAGCTGTCAGCACAGAGCCCGATGCGGGGTTTGAACTCACAAACTGTAAGATTATGACCTGAGCCGAAGTTGGACGCTTAACCGACTGAGCCACCCAGGCGCCCCTTCCCCAAACAGTTCTGGGTGAAACCACCTGAGACTCCGTGTGAAATCAGAACGGAGTGAGACCTGTCCCCCTTTCTTCCCCTGCAGTCCCTGCTCAGGCACCTTCAGGAAGCCTGGGCTCCCCGCCCCCCACAGGAACCTGGCCTGGAGCCCTGGCCATTGTCTCCTGCTGGCGCAGGTGTGCGTGCCTGCACCTCTGCTTAGTCCCACCTGGCCAGATGCAGCCCGGGGCCACCGTCATGAGATGTGGTTCTGGGGGACGGGTTGGAGGTGGGAGTACGTAGAGATGCACACTGCGTCCTTTCCTGGGAGCTCATGGTGCAGGGGAAGCAGAGCTTGGGGACCCACCCATGCTGCCACGAGGGCCCGCTGAGCTCCTCCGGGCGGAGGCATCACAGGTGCCGGCCTCGGTGGCCCTCCTGGCTTGGGAATGTGCGGACGGTTCCTCCGCCGTTGGGCACAGAGTGTGTTAAGTGCCTACTCTGTGCCGGGCATCATGCTTGGTCCGAGGCCAGAGGGTGATCAGAGGCTCCCGTCCTGCCTCCAGAGCACAGGTTTCCTGAGAAGGGCTGGAAGTTGGAGAGGCTGGAACAGGCTGGGGGCGCTCCTGGCGGCTCAGTGGGGTGTCATTGGGGCCATGAGGGTGCTAAAGACACCAGAGGTCCAGCCTGCGTCAGCCCGAGCCGCCGGTCCAGGAGGGCAATCTGGCCGGTGAGGCGGCTCAAAGGGCGGAGCCAGCCTCCTCTGCCACTCATCACACGTGGCTCGTATTTTGTGTTCAAGACCATCACTCCAGTCGCCACCCTGGTGTCTGCTCCCAGCCACCGGAAGCAGGACGTGTTCCACTTCCTCCGAGCATCTCCTCAGCTGGCACGCGTCACTTCTGTCCCTTGGGCCAGGTCCCCGGCACTGGCGCCACCAGCCCCAGGGGCATCTGGGCCTGTGGTTGTGGAGAATGCGAGGGCCCGCACTGCGGAGCAGCCCCGGAGAGCCGGACTCGGGGTCCCCTCCACCACGCCATCTGGGCCTCGCCCCGCTCCTCAAGGCCACAGAGGGCAGGTCTGTCGGGAGGGCCCAGGGTATGGAGGATGGGGGCGGGCAGTGTGTGGGCCTCACTCGGGGGGGGGGGCCCTACGCTGCAGCAGGCCCGAGAGCTGCACTTGCTGCCCCCACCCGCCCCCACCCACCTCTGGAGTCCATGTCCCTCCACAGGACTGACTGCACTTGCAGCACAGGGTGAGGTTCACAGGGGCTTGTGGAAAGTGGAGCTCGCAGAGAAGGACGCGTGGGAGGAGCCGTGGATGGAGTGGTGACAGGCCGGGCCGTAGGCTGGGCTGTAGGCTGGGCGGGAAGAATCTCAAACACTGACCTCAGGAGCTGTTCTTTCAAAGGGGCCAGATTTGGTTGGATTAGTCAGTGAAGCCGTTTCCGCCCAGGGCATCACTGACAAAAATAGTAGAGCTCTCAGGCGGCAGGGAGAGGAGCTCAGGGCCTGTGTGGGCAGGGAGGACAGACAGACAGCTCCGCCAGAGCTGTTCCCCCAGGGTGACTGGGCGAGCCCAGGGCCAGCAGCTGGGGCTGGAGCAGAAGCTGCCTGGGGAGGGGAGAAGCCGGCCCACCGCCCACTAGACGGGGTAACATGACCGGGCCAGGGTGCCCCTTGCCCAGAACTGCTACAGCACATTTCCTAAAACGCCCAGTCTCCCACCTGGACGTGAAGGGAGCAGTCCGGTGCGGCCCAGGCCCCAGGAACGAGTAGGCTGCAGAGCTGGCAGTGCTCGAGGCGTTGGATGGAGGAGGAGGAGACCTGAACTTGGTCACCGCAAATACAATCAGAGGAAAGGAAACCAGCATTAAACAGGGAAGGGGAAGTAGGGAAGGAAGGTGCATCTAACAGAGCCGACAGAAAGACCAGAATTAATAAAAATTAAAAGAACCCTGGGGCGCCTGGGTGGCTTGGTCGGTTAAGCGTCCGACTTTCGCTTGGGTCATGATCTCGCGGTTCGTAGGTTTGGGCCCCGCGTCGGGCTCTGTGCAGACTGCTGGCTCGGAGCCTGGAGCCTATTTCGGAGTCTGTGACTCCCTCTCTCTCTGACCCTCCCCTGCTCACGCTGTCTCTCTCTCTCTCCTAGAAATAAATAAAAATATTGAAAAAAAAAAATAAAAGAACCCAATGGAAATTCTGGAGCCGTAAAATATAGTAGCTGGAATGGAAGGTTCACTAAAGGGGCTCAACAGTAACTATGAACTGGCAGAAAGAATCCATGATCTTGACTGACCTAGAGACCCACCGAGATCACACGATGCAAAGACGGTAAAAGGAAAGGAGAAATGGTTTCAGAGAAACAGGCCCGCGTGCACACCGCCAGAGCCCCAGGACGCGGAGGGCAGGAGACAGCACACAGTGGCCGAAAAATCCCCATGTTTATCAGGACATGTCCGCCGACAAATCCAGCAAGCGCAGTGAGCTCCGGGAAAGCCCTCCCTGGTCCCGAGAGCGCCCCTCGGGTCTGGCAGCTGACCCTGGGGACCACAACGTCGCGTGCTCGAGGACAACTCACAGCCAAGCCTCCTGTGTCCACCAAAACTGCCCTTCCAGATGCAGGGGCTGAGCAGTGTTTGCAGATACACTAGACCCGAGAGTTTGGTCCTCGTGGGCCCGCCTCCCGAGAAATACTAAACTTCATGAGGTTCAAAGCAAGGGCCCCGACAGTTCAGATCCACATAGGAGACGGTGTCTCGTTGACCCTCAGACATCCCTGTGGTCGGGGGGCCACCGTCTGCCACCCTTTCCTCTGGCAGCATCTTTAAAAGGCGTAACATCCCACAAAGTGGTCATCTTGGCCCCGTGGGGCTGAGCTCATCAGGTCGCGTGTCACGTGCCGCGTGTCACGGTCACCCCAGGAGAGGGTGGGAAGCTGCTGTCTCCAGCAGGGAGTGAGCAAGGGCGCCTTTGAGGTGCGTCTGGCCATCCTGAGAGCGGCCACTCGGGAAATAACTCAAAAGTAGTGACAAATGCACTACAGGAATTAAAATGCTACGTAACAAGAAACTTAATATAAAAGCGGCAAATGAGGGCTGCAGGGACCGAAAGGCCCGGGTCCCTCGGCA